TCTCTCTCTCTCTCTCTCTCTCTCTCTCTCTCTCTCTCTCTCTCTCTCTCTCTCTCTCTCTCTCTCTCTCTCTCTCTCTCTCTCTCGCCACAGACACACACACAGACAGGGGAAAAATGTGTGTACTTAGCTTGCAGCGTAGAATGAGGGACTGAAGGGCAAAACATTAGACAGAAAGGCACACAGGGGTGGTCCTTATGAAGCAGAAACGTGGTGTGTGACTCTGATGTCTCTTGCTGTCTAACAAGCATAGGCATGAGAATAAGAAGAAGACAAAACAAAACAAAAAAGAACAGGAAACTGAGAAAAGTAGGCTATAAGTAGAGAGTTATGAAGAGGCAGACTGGCAGATGGAGTGGAGTGGAGTGGAGAGGAGAGGAGTGTGATTGTGTGTGTTACCCTTGTCTTGATTCCATTCTTGACCACCCATATCATCTTCTCATTTGCCAACTTGTCCTGTTTATATCTGCCGTAATCATCCAGTCCTTCCTTGAATGCAGAAACAGCAAAAATGAAGAGAAGCGGTCCCCACGTACTCGCCGGATTGACAGGTGTGATCTGGGGCCATAGCTGGAGGCAAGCAACCAATAGAAAATACTTGTTCATAAAGCGGCTGCACAATGGAAAGTCCAAAAAAGGTACCAAAAAAAAGTTCATAAAGTGGCGGCTACACAACGCAAAGTACAATTTTTTTCATGAAGCGGCTGCACAATGAAAAGTCCAAAAGCCGAACAACAAAACAGTGTCATAGAGCAGGTCGAAAGTCCAAAAAAATACGAAGAAACTTCAAGAAAGTCCATTAAAAGCCGGATTGATTTTCCGCGCAACTAGACATAGAGGTCGTGCCGAGACACATGCCCGGTTGCCCAGCCACACAGAACCCCCTAGAAGGGTCCCCAGTGGCCCCAGCACAGAAGGACACTTTATTTCTGCGCCCGGTAAAGGCCCTGGCAGTAGGCAATTCCTGTACCACACTCAGTATAAGCTGTCGAAACTGTTTCCGCCCGTTCCCTGCCCTCTCCTGTGTTCTTCGTACTGCCACAGGAGATACAGAGAGAGAGGTACTACCATACCTGTTTCAGCCCCCGTCTGTTATGGTGCTTCTTGCGTCTATGTGCTGTCGAAACTGTTTCCGCCCGTTCCCTGCCCTCTCGTGTGTTCTTCGTACTGCCACAGGAGATACAGAGAGAGAGGTACTACCAAACCTGTTTCAGCCCCAGTCTGTTATGGTGCTTCTTGCGTCTTAGTAAATCTCACATGGCGTTAATTGTGCCCCGAAGGGTCTACCAGCTCCAGGTATTTGTCGGTGTGCTGGTAGCCTGTCTTTTCTTTTGCCAAATTACGAATTGGATCTAAGGCCCAAACCCACTTTGTGCGAAACTATCTACTCTAACCAGACCACTGAGACCTGACAGTGGAGTAACGTACAACCAGCCCCCCTCCATACAAAACAGGGTACGGGGGGTGCTACCCGAAGAAGGGTAAGAACCGTTCTCGGTTTCCTAAACCCATAGATTGGAACCTTACGGTACAACCCGGTGCCGGTTTCCCAAACCGGCAGACTAGAACCTATGGTGCAACCCGGTCCCAGTGTCCCTGGGATCAACCCAAAACTCATCGCGTACACGTGCCTTCAAGGCTCCATTCTATAGGTGGGGCGCTGCACCTTCTGGAAAACAGGACCAACATCTGAGCCTCTCTCTCTTTGTGCGAGGTGGATTCCCCCTGTGCGCCAGACATTGCTTAAACACCAGCCCAATGCTTTCACATCTTTTGGCTGGCGCCGCCTGCCATTTTGGTGCGTTAGCCCTGAGCCCCCTTTGAAATTTTGGATGTTTGATTTTGGTTCCCGAGTTTCCCTGGGCACTGTACTGGCGGTTTAAAATTGAGGATGCATTGCAGGGAAGGGTCAAAAGCACTGGTGGTTTAAAATGCAACCCATTTTATTTACCTGTCCCACTCCCCTCCTATTATCCTGGCCCTAAGGGCTTCCAGGGGACAACAGTAAGCCCATCCAACCCATGCAACTCATGGGGGCCCAACGGGAAGTGATCGAGATACAGCTCGATCCCACGGCACCAGAGTGGCGGTCCCACCACTGCACTAGAGTACTGGTACCAGTGCACTCGAGTGGTGGTCCCACTACATTTGAGTGGTGGTCCCACCGCACTAGTGGTCATCCCACTGCACAGCACCACTACATCATCCATTCATAAGCCCCATCGGTGCAAAATCGTCTAAGGCAAGAGGATATGTTCTTTCATTTTTTGTTGTTTTTTAAGCTCACGTACATAATAAAATACCCCTACAAGATGAGGGTAGAGCTGAATGCCCCTCTTAAATCTTTGCGATCTACCTCTGTCAGGCGGTTGTGCAAATTTGTTTTCTCCCCCTGACAGAGGTATAATCCCTACCCTGGCAACCCCCTGACACTGGTGTAAAGCAAAGATCAAAATCCAAAAGGGCATTTTACAACCTTTGAAATTTCAGAGGGGTATTCCACTCTACCCACATCTTGTGGGGGTAGTTTGGCAATTACATGAACTTTCAGGGTATTCCCTTCTTAAACCACCACTACCTCCCCTGTCCTAAAGTCAGGTGGACCGGTAGCACACGTTGAAGAGGGCTACCGGTAGCACAGTGGGGAGAACCAGGGGAGTGGCAAAAATGGAAAATTTGTCGAATTGCCGCTGCGACTTATTTCGCAGTTTAGACGATTTTTTTAATATTTTTACTGGTGTGAGGAATGTATCCTCATGGGGCCCTAGCCAACATGCATATGTTCTGGACTGTGGCCCCAGCAAGCCTCGTGCCCGCCCTAAGTGAAGGCGGGCCTGGATATACACGAGAGGCCCTTATCTCAGCATTTTCCAATGTGGGTATCAGACAGTTGCAGCACGCCCGTTGGTTGAAGTGCAACCTGGGCCTCTCCCTGGCTCCTTCCAGAAGCAGCACCTGTGTCAAGCAGTTGAGCCCAGGACGCAGGTGGTTGCACCCTGGGCACACGCAGTGTGAGGCCGACACATCACGAAGTGGCCGCGGGCCAATGAGAATTCAGCATTGTCGTCACACCTACCCCGCGGGCCAATGCAAACACGGCGAACACCTGGAGCCTGGAGGCAACCTGAAGGTGCCCAACAGAGGAGGGCCCAGGCCCTTAACTGTAGGAATGGACCTGAGCGCAGACACTGGGGGCCGACCGGAAGCTACTGGAAACTTCCTCGGCCAGGCCCAGGCAGCCCAGCAGGGCAGCTACTCCCATATAGGGAGGAGGCCGGCCAGAGGCTGGCATTCTGGCCTGGGCAGGCAATGCGGACATGCTGCTGCGTTGCTGCGCAGGTGTCTGCGTTAGCGCATGCTGGCTGGGGCGCACGCGGGCGCTATGAGGTGAAGGGCGCTGCAGGGCAACGGGCCCCTTAGCGGCCATAGCCGGGCTGCAGGGGCGCAGGCAGGTGATGGGCGACGGTGGTCTTCAGGGAAGGAGGCGCATGAGTGGGTGGACAAGGTCTAATGAGGGGAGCAGAGAACGTGCCTGGTGTATGTGGGAGGTCGGCATTGGTGTTGACGTCGTGTACATTGGTCTTCGACGGCGAAGTGATCCTGTTGCACGAATGTAGATAGGATAGATAGGCTGAGTAGAGTAGGCTGGGCGCTGAGCGCCATACAGTAGGAACGACATTGGATACTGCGTTGGTGTGGCCTGAGGGCTTGGACATTGGCTCGCGAGTTCATTGTATCGCTCTTATGTGGGTGGAATCTTAGTGCATTTATGTTCTCTGCTTGGTACATCACTATCTGGACTTCTGCGTGACTTTGCAACTTCGTTTTCTGTCTATCGCTCTCGCTCGTATTCCTTGCAATTTGGTATCAGAGCTGGTTCGAGTTCGCCATTACCTGGCGCTGGCGACATTGTTACGTGGTGCGCTGACGATGCTTCTTCGCAGTAAGGATACTTTGGTGCTGGCATAATTCACGACTCCCAGGTAGAGGGGAGTTGGCCGGAAGGCTGGCACAGCATGAGATCTGTGGCGACAGCGGATGTATGTGTGATGATGAGAGCATGCTGATGTGACGTTTTGGCTGAGGTGACACTGCATTGCGTTGTGGTTGGTACTGCACATTGGCTCAATTGGTGAGAAATTTGTGGTGGGGGCTGCTATCCCCAGGTATGTTGTTCCCTTACCTTATCTTCCCTCTCAATCTCTCCTTACCGTGAGGACGTGAGTCCAACTTGAGCGTCCTCTTTTGAGTAAAGAGTCCTGAGCACTCTACCTTGAGAGACGACATTCTTCCCGGTGGCGCATCTGGCAGGAGAGGGCGGTGCCTTTGAAGGGCCCTGGTCGAAGCACGGGTCACGGTCACCATGCCAAGTTGCCAACCCATGGGAGTAGTACACGCAGGTCATGCTGCTTTTTCCTTTGAAGCTCTTTGATTCGCCAGAAGAGGAAACGTGGACTGACCAGAGTCCTAAGCAGACGCTCACCAGACTGTCTTTAAATATTTCTAGTGGGGATCTGACCTGAATACTGCCTGTGATTGTCGTCCTATCTGTGACGTTAAATAATTCCTGAGGACCTTGGGGGCTGTCCTTAAAATCCCTTTTGATCAGCCAGATCAGTCACGTAAGGCTCCTTGCACGCGAGGATAAACAAAGGGCAGTTCTGGTCATACGCGAGTTCCTGGGCACAAGGGTGGCCCGTTAATGCACACCTTAGTCACCGTTGCTTGATGATGCGGATCGGTACATTGGATACAAGGGAAGGAAGGTTCCAATTGATGCTCAACTACAAACACAACTATTTCCATTGTGCATAATATCTGCTCATATGATTTATTTTCATTTTGACTAGATGACCCGTTCCAGCTTCGCCCGCAAAAACAGAAAAGGAAAACGCACAAAAGAAAGAAAAAGCATAATGAACCGCCCTATCATATGCCGCTTCTTTCACAAAAAGAAAAAGAAGAGCCTGAGAGCAGACTGAAATCCGCGTGCAAGAAAATAGGAGGGAATACCACCGAAGCGTTTTTTTTACTTTATTTGTGAGTCTTTTGTTTGGGAAGCCATTACCTTCGCAGCGTCGGTTTTTTTTTGTGCTGTGCAAGAACTCTGAACGTTTCTGAGAAAATCCTGTCCATTGTCCCGTTGATGTTTTTGCTCAATATTCCGATTCAGACTTTGCTTGCTGTGTTCTCTGAATACGTTTGTGATCAAGCGATCTTGCATGTATGCCCCGTGCTCACTTGTTGAGTTTTGACGCTATGTGTGCAAGTGCATGCGCGTGTGGGTGTGTCTCAGTTTGGTGGGCTCCGACGATGTCATTGATGATTGGCCCGGGGAAATTGTTGGAAGTCGCCTCCAACGACAGGAGTGCCACTGATGTTAAGCAGGTTTTGCTTGGCGGTTGCTCTGCGCGTGGGAGACTTGTCAGGAGTAGCACTGACATGGGAGCCATATGCTGGCCGTTCATCTTGCAACATTTCCTGGAAGGCAAAACACAAAGAAGATACGAAGTAGCGCGTGCCCCTCCCTTCTCTCTCTCTCTCTCTCTCTCTCTCACACACACACACACACACACAAAAAAAAAAAAATAATAATAATAATAATAAAATAATAATAATAATAA